GGAGATAGAGCGAGAGAAAGAAGCGATAACGGGGACCCCACCAGCATTCCTCAATAGTCTCCACTTTTGGATTATCTGACACTGCGGCGCAGCAAGGGTGGGTAGATCGTTTTGCGTGCGTGACACGCAGCTCGCGACGCTTGGCGGGGCCTCAACTCAAAGCCAGGTACACAAGGCGTATTCAATGGCGAAGTGCGTGCCGCTCTGTGGAGTTGGGTGGCGAATCGAGTGACTGCTGACCGCGACGGGACGGGAACTGTGTAGTGCGTGTCTGCCATACTTTTACCTGCCTTCAAATTGACCTGTTACAAAACAACACACCTAGGTCAGAAGTCGGCGGCGCCAAAGCCGAGTTGAGAATTGCAGGCTCATCTGGGGTTCTATAGGCTTCAGTCGGATTTGGAGAGCATTCTGTCACATATAGTTCGTGGAGAAGGTGAGCAGTCCGTTTTTACCGTTATTGACAGGATGTATTTGAGATTGTTTTACATGATTGTCCTGGTCCGTCTGTTACCGATATCATGTACCTGCTTAGCACACCCGGTAGTGAAATCCGGATTTCCTACTTTGCTTTAAAAAAAAGCAAGCGGTTGGTTTTACACTTTGTCGCAATTAAGCTAAAAGTGTTATCATTAGGATCTACATGCTTTATTACATCTGTCTATAATAATTATATAGGACGTGGTCTAATAAATGCTAGCCCAAGGCGAGACTATTGGCAAGGAGGGGGCGGGGTGTATATTGTGGTTCACTTGAGGCTTCTTTTCATTCCTAACCCTAACTGTTCTTGTAACTTACCAGGAATCCACGTGCATTGGCTATATATCATATATGCATGTATATTATTTTAAAGCATAAGTGAAAGGAGGGACCAAACATTAATAGTAACAGCTCTTCATTGACTCACGCTCACCCCAGCAAATCTAGCATCTAGAGGTAGATAGATTTTGTTAGATTTCACTTCTAGAAATCTAGACCTGTGTTGCAAACGAAAAGACGTACCTTTACTTCAGCTTTGAAAGCTTCTCAGCGCACAAAATAGTATAAATTAATGGTCGCAATGATTTTACTTCCAAATACTTGTACTTCCATACAAGCATAAAGATTCTATCTTAGCTCTCTAGTGTGCTTTATCATTCCCTCTCAGGAGTACACTACAGCTTGGTATTATAGTAACTTTGCCCGCTGACCAGTACGAAACAATAATGTATTCATAGTTTAGGCTATCCACTGTCCACTATAGGCTTTATTGTGACCTCTTGGCAATATTTAGAGGCCGCCCGACGCCCAGCCTTCGCGTGGCCGAGGAGCTATCGCGGGCAGTTGACCACTGGTTCCAGTCGTGTGCAAGTCAGCCATTGACTCAGTGTACATCTAGATCTAGTTAGAATTAAGCAAGTCAGTGTTGTTCTGTTTTCGTAAAGTATAATAAATCATTAATTGTTATCGCATTGACGGTCCGCTTTCTGATCATTCGACAGCACTTGCAAAACGCGCTGTTTTTGGATACGTAAAAAAAAGGAAAAAAAGCGTAAAGTCGTTACCTACAGTATTTTCAATTCCGCTTTTTAAGAAAAATCTGAAACTCAAGACAACATGCATGCTTTTTTGTGTGATGGTTCGAAAGGTGCCGCAACATTGCCTTTGGTCCCCAACGACCTTATTGCAAGAGAGACATCAGTGCCACAGATCAGACAGTGTCCTTGTGGTCTGATCTGGTAATGTCCTTTGATTTAGTCTTCTGTCACCTCTTTTAAAAAAGTTACTCTTAACAGATGTTTGTGAGATGAATGGGCTGACTTTCCCACAAATGTATCCACCTGGCACCTTTATCGAGGGCAAGGCAGACCTCGTGACGTAAACGTTCACTCACGGGTCGGGGCCAACCATTTTAGAGCCGGGAGAGAAATGCCAGCTTGTTGGCCTACTTGAGAGAACCGAGTAAGAGCATCCTTTTTAAAAATAGAAGAAGGCGTGATCATTGTGTAAAAAGGTATCGTGTTTCATGATAATTTGGGACTTTTTGAAAGACGCATTTAATTTTCTTGTCCTCGATCTGCTCATTTCAAAATTATACACTTTGTCCTTATGGTGAACTCCATTCCTCTCTCATCCTTACGTCTGTCTCAAAATAGTCTGAGGTATTTTCAATTTTAATGGGAGCAAGATTTAAAACTCTTTGTAAGATTTCGGTTTATTGATAGGTTGGGCTTCTCGTCTTACGGGGATATATTTATAATGAAGAGTTCATGTTTATCTCTATAAACTAATATATATATATATATATATATATATATATATATATATATATATATATATATATATATATATATATATATATATAGATAGATAGATAGATAGATAGATAGATAGATAGATAGATAGATAGATAGATATGACGTGGGAACATGAAGAGCCACGTTTTTCTTCGTGGAACTAGCTAAATATACACCGTAAACACTAAACAGCACGCGCGCGTAGACACACACACACACACACACACACACACACACACACACACACACACACACACACACACACACACACACACACACACACACACACACACAGAGAGGCAGAGAGAGAGAGTGAGAGAGAGAGAGAGAGAGAGAGAGAGAGAGAGAGAGAGAGAGAGAGAGAGAGAGAGAGAGAGAGAGAGAGAGAGAGAGAGAGAGAGAGAGAGAGAGAGAGAAAGAGAAAGAGCTCCGATGTAGTCCAGTGCACCATTCTCCCTCTGAAAACTAGTTTTATTTTTGCGGAAGGAAACATTCTTTCAATTTTTTACATATTATATATGGAGCAAATCAAACATTTTATCTCCAAACGCTTTTCTTTTGTCGATGAATTTGAAGGGCTTCATAACATTTCCTTAATGATTTGCTTTAACGTGATAGAGTTTGATAATGATAATTATTTCTCTCTTCCCAGATTAATCTTCTAAAATCACTTGCTACTCCCTGTGAATAAAATGGTGGCCAACGGGAAACCAGCCGCGGACTGCAATGGAACGAGTGCTGCACCCGTGGGTGGACAACGACACAGCAAAATTGTCATCCCCAAAGACCCATTCAAATGGTTCTTCAGTTTCATGACTTTGAACTCGAAAATTGAAGGAAGCGGAGACGACTGGTTGTACACGGAAGAACCGCACACTGGGCGCCGGAAAGAGATCTTGGACAAACATCCAGAAATCAAATCGTTAATGGGACCTGATCCGTGGATTGTGGTGCCTGTTACGATATCTGTCATATCTCAGGTTATCCTATGCTGGCTTATCAAAGATGCATCCTGGATGACGATCTTCCTCATGGCTTATTGCATCGGTGGAGTGTTCAACCACTCCTTGGGCTCTGCTATTCACGAAATTGGACATAATCTTGCATTTGGACACGGCAGAAGATCGTGGTGGAATAGAGTCTTGAGCCTCTGGTGTAATCTTCCGCTCGGAGTGCCGATGGCAATCACTTACAAGAAATACCATGCTGACCACCACCGTTACCTCGGAGAAGAGATGCAAGATGTTGACATTCCAACTCGACTAGAATCGTGGCTCTTCCAGCACCCACTCACTAAAATGGTGTGGCTTATTATGCATCCTATTTTGCACTCTTTGCGACCTTTCTACAAGAGTCCAAAACCTCTCTCTGGTTGGGAAATGATCAATGCCGTGGTTCAATTCACTTTTGATTTTATTATTTTTTATTTCTTTGGCATCAAGCCTATTGTCTATATGGTCGGTGGAACTCTTCTTGCCTTAGGGCTTCACCCTTTGGCAGGCCATTTTATATCAGAGCATTACTTGTTTACTGAAGGGCAGGCCACACATTCATATTATGGTCCTCTTAACTTTATACTTTACAATGTAGGCTACCATAATGAGCACCATGACTTCCCATACATTCCGTACAACCGTCTCCCAGAGGTCAAACGACTGGCCCCAGAGTATTATGACAATCTCCCATATCACACTTCATGGATCAAGGTTGTTTGGGATTTTATTTTTGATCGTAACATGGGTCCACACGCCCATGGCGTGGGATACCCGAAGGGTGGCTTGAAATCCAAAACCATGTAACGGAAAAGAATCCATATTCCACTCCAAGTCTTGATAAATGTTCCGGTTTTTTATCTCTCGTTTTGTTACAGCTTAACGATCAACCATCCTTTTCTGTGATTTGGCTCATAAAATGCATTCCATAAATTTCTCTTCTCTGTCTTTTTTTATTTAAAGAGAAAAATAAGAATCTTCATAAACTTACACATTCCAGTGAAGCAGAGAGAGGAAAAGAAAGTCCCAATTAAATTATGTGTTCCAGAGTGCAGTAGGGAATAAAATATGAATGTTCAATTGTCTAAGGTAAAGTACTCGTACCGACTTGCATGTATACTTTTTTTTCTCACATACCCAACTGCTGAAATCTATGCTGTTTGAAAATGATCACATGTTGCGTTTTTACTGGTTCAACTCTTTTGTTTGATATGTTTACATTATTTATTATATCATCGGTTTTGAAAAGAGAAAGACATGGATGAACAAGATACTTGTAAACTGTGTTTTACTACTTTTATGGGGGAAGCAATTGTCAGCAGAATTGTGTATTCTTGATAGAAGTCCGCCGATGTGCTAACGTAAAAATCAAAAGCAGTAATTTAGTCAGCGTAGTAAAGTAACAAAGGAATACATATATTTGCTCTTTTGGTTTTGAAAATCAATTGCAAATTCTGTTTTTACAAGATATCTCATAATAACCAGCTTCCTTTTCAATTTAAAATAATTATTTTTTAAAACAAAAGATAAATACTTCATGCTTTTGAGGTCGTTGAAATGATGTGCTTCTTTTTTGTCTAATTGTCTGAAAAGAAAACATTTTTAGAGTGTGTTATTTTCCTCAGGAATTGATTTGATAGATCTATATGTATATATATGTATCTGTGATTACCTAACGATTTCTGCTTGTCCCAAAAGAAAGCATTTGCCCTAGTCTTACACCATAGCTCTAAAGTTACATATTCGCCATAACCCGATTATTCTGCTTCAAAGCTTTTAAATTTTTATTTTTATTTTTCACACACCGCATAAATATTGAAAGATATCTGATATAATATTTTCATAATGCGTATTCAAATTATTGGTATTGACGTAGATTTGTTTGACTGGTTCTTTATTTTATTCTTTCTTAAGCAAAGAGAAGTGAAAATAATTATTATGCTCAACATCCCAAACTGAAAGAATGGTGATTTACTTTACATTTGTTTTATACTTGGCAATTAATTGACATTGACATATTATATTGCAATTGCCTCCACTTTTCTTTATTTGACAATACATGCATTTTAACTGCCCTGTCCGTGGCTCTACAAAGTGAAAATTCCAAATCTGTTGTCTCACAACTTGCACTTTGGGTGAAGGTCTAATTGAGGCCACCGTTCTTAAAATCGTTTTTCACGAAGGCGTAACGGCTGCGCTCATGTTGGCCCCACAGAGAGTGTGGACCCCAGGTGTGCGCAGTCGATGTTGTTAGTTCCAAATTTTAATGGAGGCCTCAACTAGACATTTACTGCACTCTGTATCTGTCTCTCATCTTTCTCGTTTCTTGTCGATTTTGGCGTCACTGAGAAAAATCAACTCAATATATTATATATTATATTATTTAAATAATTTATAATTTATTAACGTATTACACATCCAAAGACTACAAAGTTTTTCCATTTTCTTACAGCATTCTTGGGTTTTTAAATACATGGATCAAAACATTCCTAACCACTGCAAAACTATCAATTTCTATTGTGTCAAGAAGTAAAACCAAGTTCAGTAATAATTTAAGATGGATGAAAGAAAGAAGCATAGAGCTAGTGATGGCGGCGGGCAAAGGGGGTGGGGGTGACAGGTGGTAGTTTTATGTGTTTGGTATGCTATCTATTAATGGCTGTTTAGGAGGGAGGCGGGTGGGGGTGGGGCATTTTTACGTTTTCTCTGTTTCCAAAAATGCAAATTACGATATTATAATTTATAACTCATAACATCAACTTATATCCACTTTGTCTTTTATATATTAATTTTTATGTCAAGTATTTGATTTCTTCAATATCTATCTTTGCAAACTTTATATGTATATACAACATAATATACTAGTAAGAAGTAAAATTCGTCCAAACTGTACTATCAATTAAGAAAATTGCTGGTTTTTTAATGTGTTATTAAATATTGACAGATTTCAAAGTCAATCATTTTTAAAACTCAAAGAAAGTGGTTATTTCTTTCACTGACAATTCAGTCAGAACATAATGTGGCCTTTTGACTTTTAAAAAGATATTGCAATGCCATCAACTTGGTCCTGGCGAACTATAAATGACAAGTGTTCTTCACAGTAAAACAGACACATATATTTACCACCATTCCGCTCTCGGAGGGTTTTTCCTCCGTTCGAATCGGACTATTAACTTATTTTGTCATGTCGCATCATATAATATATATGCTTCTAATTTGACAGGTTCCTCTTGCTAAAATTAAGCAGAGACCCCCACCTTACTTGATCTGCTGAACTATGTGCGGATGGTGATGGCTGATGGAGATAATTAACCTTCTTTATAAGTCGGGGCTTATGTTGCCTTTTCTGTGTTTGATATAGTGACATATTATACCAGTGAACCCCTCCCTCCCTCCAAGCTTCCAAGCCCAAATGGTGACGAATCAAAATTAAGTTCTAGAAACGCATGTCATCGACTTGAAATATGACTGTAAGGATGTTAAGATTATATTAATATTATAAAAGATCTATCGCAATTCCGTCGTGAAATTTTTAAAGCTATATTATATAACACTACACGAATGCTTGTGTTTTGCTTCTGTACATATTGCTCCGCTATAATTCTTTATTTCTTATCATGGGGGCTTTTTCCTGTTCATGCTTCTACTTCATTTTGTAGTATCTGAAAAGAGGGCACATTTGTGAGCACGTAGAATTTCCGACCTGTTTTAATTAAGTTTGTGAGTCCCGGCGGCTCTGTTCGCTGGAAAGGAGGCTGAAAACGTAGGTAAGAAATTTTAGATGTGAGATAAGTATTTTATTAATTGATTAATTTATTCATCTGTCTGTCTGTCTGTCTGTCTGTCTGTCTGTCTGTCTGTCTGTCTGTCTGTCTGTTCCCCCTGCGCCCCTTCTCTATCTTTCTCCCCCTCTCGCCTTTTCAGTTTTTCTCTTCCCAATCTGTATCTGTCTGTGACTCTCTCTTTCTGTCCACGTTCACTCGTTCACACACTCTCTCTCATTTCATGTCTCCCTGTCTCTACCCCCTCTCTCTTTGTCACTCCGTCTCTCTCGCTGTCCCACGTTGTCTCTCTCTCCCTAACTCTGTCTGTCTGTCTGTCTGTCTGTCTGTCTGTCTGTCTGTCTGTCTGTCTGTCTGTTTATTTTGGGGATGGGGGTGTCCCTGTACTATAGATGCCAAATTTTCAGTCCGCTATTGCCAAAAGGTTTCCTATTGTTCAAGGCTTATTTGTGAATGTTGGGCCGGTTGGAACACTCTGGTGGTCTTCATGTAAGATACATTTTTAAGGACTTTTCTGGCCATAACTCAAAGCGTGTTTTTAATGACTTTCTCCAAGTTATTTCATGTCTTGCAGTCTTGGTAGCTTGTTGGGCTGTTGTGGGTCAAAGGCTAAACTTTGGTAACGCCACTTGGAAAGAATGGCCACCGATACTTCAATTAGAAGTTTAGTAAGCTAAGAGCACTTCGCAGTTTATTGAGTTCTTAAGTTTTGATAACATATTTCCAGTCTTCAATATCAGTCCTTTATCTGCACTAGTCAAAGCTGCTGTTTGATTGTTATCTCCCCGGCCACCCCCAAAATTACCGTGTATTATTTTCATATGCACACATGTTTACTGGTCGTTTGTGTTTTTTAAACCTAATAATATTATAAATTAATCAAACCCATGATGTTTTATAAAGAGTTGAATCTCTACCGTGGTTCCTTTGAATTCGCATGATTGATATTTTATTGAACGTTTCTTTTTTCCTCCAATATTTGTGTCTACCCTGTAATTACTCATTGCTTTACGTTTGTATATAATAATATCAATCTTTAGTTATAGTCATAATCTGTCAGACTGCCAGTGGAAAACAAAAGCTCGGGCAATGATTCTGGCCTTGGGATAACTGTTCGGTGATATGCTTACCATTTGCGTTTGTGGTACCAAGCAAATCTTGTTTCCAGTTTGCTGATCTTTTTTTGTCTCTAAGACTAAAGAATATTACGGCATGCTGATACCGCCATGCAAGGCAACAGAGGAGCCTCTGCTTTTATTTGTGGCTGTCGATACCATGATTTCTATTAAAACAACCCAGTGTTGGGGAGGAGACGATTTCACTGCTGTGTCCGTGTATAAACTCTGTGAAAAGATGGGTGTGTCTACAGAGACAATCCTTTAAGATGTGTGCGTTGTCAACACTGGTTTTATTAAAAAAGAAATTTATGATCTCTGTTTATTGGAGTTTATTTTTTTATAAGATTATTCTCTGTATTTCAAACACACACACACACACACACACACACACACACACACACACACACACACACACACACACACACACACACACACACACACACACACACACACACACACACACACACACATAATACATGTATATATATATATATATATATATATATATATATATATATATATATATATATGTATATACATATATTTATTTATACTTATATTTTTACTTTCATTCTGTCTTTTTATGTAATTTCTATATTTTCTTAGAGGATCTTGCGATGATGGAAAGTTGCAGGTGTTGTTGGTCTTCACCAAGGTTTTTATTGAATAACAGCGTGCATCCTTGTTAAGTATTTGGCTTACGTTTGTTCTGTATTCTCTCCCCCCCTCCCAACCTATGTTTGCTTATAACAACCTTATTTTGTATAAAGTGATACGCGTGGTTGATATTGTAATTGTATTCACCAAGAACTAAAGTGATTCGTGCTAAGTGCTTTGACATCTCTGGACATTTCCTTATATCCAATAGCCTTCAGTGACTCTTTTCACTTGTACTGCCTTTTATAAATTATTTTCAGTGATTTTTAATGAGATACTTATCGATATTCACTGCTCACTTTGTTTAATTGTATCTTTGTTGGCATAACAAATGGATCACTTGATTGAAATAAAAGCCTTTCTAGAATACCTGGTTAAAAAGAAACTGCGTTTTTTTGTCGTTGTTGGTGTTCGGTATTGTAAATATAATAATCGTATATTATATTCTGTCTGTCTGTCTGTCTGTCTGTCTGTCTGTCTGTCTGTCTGTCTGTCTGTCTTTATATAGTCAAACCTGCTCTAACAGCTACCTTTATCAGACAATCACCTGTACAAATGGTCGCGCCCCATCTCCTCCCTTGCGTATTTTCTACATTATGATAACACTGTGTAAGACGGCTACCTGTCTAAGTTGGCCACTTTTCTCCACGACAATGGGTGGCCGTCTTAGACAGTTTCGGTGGGTGGTTGGCGGGTGCTCTGGTGTGGTTTGCTTCTTCTTTCCTATCAAACATCTATCGTCCTTATCTCCCCTCCTTCTTTTTTGTGTATGTTACTCTCTTGTAACACCTCTAATCTTCTGGCGCTCATATGACCTTATGCAGTTGGCCAGCTGTCACGATGTACGAAGCTTAAATTTTTATTTCCTGAAAATGGCAGTTTATTAATCGGTGGTATAAATTGCTTCTACTCGAGAGTTATTTTGTCAAAATTCAAACTTTAAGTGTTGAAAAAAAAAGCATGGACAAAATATATGAAAGGTAAGTTTGTCAATAGAAATAGATCATTGTACAATAGGATCAGCGGCAAAATTAAAAAGAAAACAAACTGGGGTCAGCGGTTAGGGGTTTCGCTGCGGCACGTAGGAGACCTAAATTCGATTCACAAGTGGAGAGTTTTTATTGAGTATCTCTGTCTTTCTGCTGTGATGTACTTGTATTTTTTTCTTTGAAAAGGAAAAGTAGGCTCAGTTTCTTCAATATTTCGTCCGGAATTAAATAAAGCGTTTGGGTGGTTGGTTGGCAGGTGCTCCTATGTGGTTCGCTCCTTCTTTCCTATGAGATATATCTATTTCCATTATTTACCCCCCCCCCCCTTCCTTTTCGCTTTGTTCGTTATGCTCCAGTAAAGCCTCTATCTCCAGCAC